GAGCGCAGCGCGCGGCCCGGTGCAGCCCTGGCTTTTCCCTCGCAGCGCGCCCGCGCCCCTTTCCGCGTCCGCAACCAGAAGCCCAGCGCGGCTCCCGGAGCCGGACCTGTGCCCGTGCCACTCCCGGGACCGCGCCCTCGGCCGCCCCGCGATGATCGCGATCGCAGCCCTCCTGCGCGTCCTCCTGCTCCTGCTGGCCTTCGGCCACAGCACCCATGGTGAGCCCCCATCCCCGGCGGCCCGGCTCGCGCCCCCACTGGGGAAGCCTGCGACGCCTTCCCCTCGGCCGCCGGCGCCCTGCTTGCCCCGTCCCGCGCGCGTCCCGACTCCCACCCGTCCCGCCTAACCCTAAGCCCCGCACTGCGCCCACCTCAGCCTCCTGCCAACCTTGCATGCTAAGCCTGAGCCTGGGGTCCCGGGGTGGCCTGGGACAGAGGCATGGGACCCTGGTCCCTTCCCGCCCCGCAGAAGTGGCACTTGAAGGGGTGTCGGTGCGCTGGGAGAGGAGGTTTGGACAAACCAGGTGATGTGGGGTGTCCTCTGTGAAAATGCTGCTTAGGGGTGCAACTTTGGGGTGTTTCTGGGTCTTGGTCTGGAAACAGGTCTGGGGGCGGCGGCGGGGGAGCTGACTTTGTCACGGTAGGGCCAAATTCCCAACCCAGAGCCCATTCCAAGCCCCTCCTGCGTGGCGTTTCTCTAGGTGAGGGGGCTGCGACACGACACTTCTGTCTGCAGAGGCAATCCATCTCTGACAGTGAAGAGCGTTGCCCCCTCCCCGAGATGCCCCTCGCCCCCACCTTGTCGGTGGCTATCAGGGCAGGGGTAGGGGCCGGCGAGAAAGAGTGATCTGTGAGGGTGCACACAGTAGGCGCCTACCAATCAGTGTCAGAATCGAACTATTAGATTCCGCCTGCTCTGCATAAACCTTGTGTTTCCTCATAATGTGGAGAATCAGGGGTCCAGTAAACGGGGGAGATAGGTTTAGGCACCCGGTGTAAGGGGGATAACCTTCAAAACAGCCCCCCAAAACCCAGACACCTCACCCTTCAGCCCGCCAGGTGAGCTGTCTGGGTTTCTCAGAGCCCAAAGCCTCAAATTCTGCCCTTCAGGTGAAGCTCATTGGCCAAAGAGGCGGTTTGGCTAAAAGCCTGTGGGGCAAATCTTGGCCCCCCACAGTTCCCCACTCCTGCTTTTCTTCATTGGGGGGCTGGAGGGCTTGGATTTTCTTTGGGGGAGAAAGGTGTCTGTCTGTGTGCCTTGTGTTTGAGAACCAAGGCATGTACTGTGGTCATGTTATCACCAGAGCCACAGCCGACCTACTGTGTAAGTGCCTACTGGGTGCCAGGTGGGTCCCCCTGACACTCACTGGCCCCCTCAAGGATGGCTGTGGGCTGTTAGGGTGGAAGCTGGCTTCGCCCTGGTCTCGGGGGCATCGTGGTGAATTGTGTAACCTTTGTGTATCTCAGGTGCTGCTAACTGCTACCCGGCCTGCCACCCAGTCCACGGAACCTGCATGGAGAACAACATCTGCAGGTGATGGCGGGACCCCCAAGAGGCAGGGGACCAGAGCAGAATCCTTGGGGGGCGGTCTCAGTGTCAGAAAAAAAGCGGGGGAGCATGCCCACTGGGCTGCGGCAAACAGCCACCTGTCCCTGCAGGAGACGGGGCGGGGGGGGGGGCAGTGTGGGCTAGCGGGGGAGGAGGAAGGGGGGGCAGAGTGAGGCCCCCGCTAGATAAGACCACTGCATCACTGCGGCAAGCTGAGAAGTGACGCAGTTCTCAGGGACCCTGTGCATCTCACCATGTCCTCTCTTAAGCGTCTTTATTCAGGTGCCGGAGAGCTGCCTCCCTGGACCCCGACCTGACACCACACAGAGACCCCCCCTGGGTTCTGTGGAGAGCCCACTCAATCCCCCCTCACATATCCCCATCTTTCTTCCTTGCAGATGCCAGCCTGGCTGGCAAGGCCCCCTCTGTGACCACTGCGTGCCCTTTCCCGGCTGCGTCAACGGCGTCTGCTTTGAACCCTGGCAATGCATTTGCGATGAAGGCTGGGAGGGACACTTCTGCCACATCGGTGGGCACAGCCCCTGCCCCCTGCCCTCTCCCCTGCTTCCCCCTCATGTCCCCACACCCCTGCCTCCCACCCGAGGGCCCCCTCCCAGCCAGGGTGGAGTCCCCTCGCTCTGTCCTAATGAGCACACCTGGTGCTGGTGTTGCAATGGGCTTTAGAGACACTTGTCCAAGCCAGAGCCACCTCCTGGGGAGTGACTGTCTCTGATCTTGCTCCACCAGCTCCCAGAGAACACCCTGGGGTGGGGTGGGAGCATCTGGAGGGGCAGATACTGGTTGAATAAAGAGTCACAAAGGCACACACACACATACACACACGCACACACACTGAGCCAGGAGGGTGGGACCACACCCCTGGGGCCACCAGTCCTGGCTTTTGGAACTGAGAGAGCACTTAGGATTCGAGGACTTAGAGGAGGCAGTAAGTCAGAGGGGGATCAGCCCCCCACTGAGGACACAGGGAGTGGCAGGGCCAGCAGGAGACTGAGGGCAGAGGGTTAGGGCCCTCTTGATTTCATTCATTAGTGCCATCTTAGCCCTCCTTTTTCCTGGGCAGTTAAGTGTTGCCTGGCCTTGCTGTGTCACACATGGGCTCATTTCCATGTGGGCAGCAAAGCCCCGGGGAGGGGGGGGGGGCATCAGCTGCAGAGGCAGTTGCTGAGCTCTGTATCCACCCTCCTCCCTGTTAGCAAAGCCCACCCAAAGATGCCCTGAGGGTGTTGACAGTCTTGAAGGTATCAGCCGGAACTCTGAGGTGGAGGCAGCTGCCTCTGCCACTTCCCTGTCGGCCTCCTGTAAATTGTCAACGGGCAGTGAGACGGCCTCAGGACAGACAGGGAAACTGAGGCTCAGAGGGGCGAGAATCTGCTGAGACACATGAAATGTCCGTTCATCCCCTGGAGAAGACCCTGTTCTTGCCCTTGACTCTCAGGGCCCAGGTTGCCCTGTGTGGGGTTGTTTGAGTCCTGAGAGACCCTGCTGCCCCTCCCAGCTGTGTCCCTGCAGCAGCACCAGAGCCGTACTTGGGGTGGGGCTTGGGGGTGACAACTACAGTGTACCCTCTGGTCTGGAATGCCCAGACACCCTATTGGGGTTTTCCAGACAAAAGTCAGCCCTTGGGAGGGAGGGGGCTCCTTAGACTGAAGGCTGCCAAGCTTGGGGTAGCTGAGAGGTCTGGACTTGTAGATAAGGGGTGGCTGGGGAGGAGTTTGGTGGTCCAGCTGCCTGGGGGGTGGGGGTCAAGTCTTTAGATTCCTGATGTTCGGTGACTGCGGAGGCATCCCGCAAGGAGGGGCAGGCTCTGTGTTTGTGCACCGTCACTGCCTCCTCGCCGCCGCGCCCCCCACCTCGCCTTGCAGCTCAGATCTGTTTGAAAGAGGGGGAAGTCGGAACAAGGGTGGTCTTAGCCCAGGGAAGCCTCCGAGTGAGACCACCTGCCTGGCTTTTTCCCTGGAAGCTCGGCAGCTGGGCTCATAGAAAAGCAAAGCTAAGATACCCCCCTCCCCAGTAGGCAGCAAGGGAACCCCACCTGTGTAAGTGGGGAGACTGAGGCACAGCATGGGGAGCCGTGGGGGGGGGGGCTGGTGACTCCACACTCCTCTTTGTTCAGCTCCTCCGGGGAGAATAATGAAGTGTGCCTGACAAGAGGGGCCAGCCAGCTCAGAAAGGTCCCCTGCAGATGGGGCCGCTCAGTTGTTCTTAGCTCCTGGCTTTCAAAAGACCCCTTTAGCTGAGACCCTGGGAGTGGGCAGGAGGGCAGGGTGAACAGTGCCGACTAGGTCGGGAGTTTGATTCTGACAGGGGTGGGTGGGGTGGGTCTTAGAGTTAATTGCCCTCCTGGCCTCCCCTCGGTGACAGCAGGTGATGGGGAGGGGGGGGCCTGAGGGCAGCTAGGTCTTTTCTCCTTGCCCCTCCCTGAGAATGTCAAGAGGACATTTGTCTGACCGGGTGGCATCTCGGGGTGGTTCTGGGGAGGGGCAGGAGGTCTGTTGGACTTCGGTGGCTAGTGTCTTGGGTGACCATTACCAGCGCCCCCGCCCCCACCCCCTCCTCATCTAGGCAGCTCTCCTGCGTGCCCCCTCTGGGCTTCCCTGGAGTTAGGCATGACAGGGAGGTCTGGTTTTCTCCGCCCCCGCCCCCCCAGATGTTCGCCCTTGCACCTCGAACCCTTGCGCCAACAACTCGACCTGCATGAACCTGGATATGGGCGGCTACAAGTGCTCCTGTGCCCCAGGGTTCACGGGACCCCACTGCCAGGAGAAGAAGGCTGGACCCTGCAAGACCAATGGGTAAATATTCTTCCCTGTGCGTGCATGCATGTGTGTGGCCAGTGAGTGCTGCCCTCTGCCCCTCGTTGGGCGCCCACCCCCCACTAGATACAAGACGAAGCAGGTGCTGCTGCCGCCACCGCCGTTGCCCCATGGGGGACCCCCTCCCAATTCAGGGGCTCCCTGGATGCCTGTCAAATCCACATCTCTTCCGAGGCCTGTGCATTCCGTGATGGTCCACGTTCTGGTGTGTTGGAAGGGCAGTAGCTTAGGAGGATGGGGAGGGGGCCCAGCTAGGAGTGGAGGGTTTTCACATAATACCAAACTGGGTGGGCTGCGGGGGGTGGGGTGGGGTGGGGTGGGGGGAGTCAGAATTCAGGTAAGTTCTTTGTGAACACCCTCAGCCCCCACTACCATCACCAGATTTTTTGTGGGGGGTGATGGTGAGCTGGGGAGCTAGCTGCCAGACTACGGAAGCAGGGGGACAGAGTCGTGGCCAGCATGGGGAAGCAGGGGGCCAGCAGGCAGCAGAGCTGGGGCACAAAGGCCGTGGAGGGGGCAGATCGCTGGCCCTGCCTCAGCATACAGGGGTGGCAGAAAGGACCCCAGCGTGCAGTCAGGCAGCCTGGCAGAACCAAGGGCCTGGGGCTCCGTGTCCAGAGCCCCTCATTAGCAGAGTGCGTTGGGATGTCCAGGGCTCTGAGCCCCGGGCATTTCCTCAGAGCCGGGCCTCACCCCATTGGCTTGTTTATCGCCCCCTTCCTCCCCGGAGTTAGTGGCATTGATCAGATGACAAAGGACCTGCTCCTTTAAAAGCACTTAGATTCAATGCTCCTTGTGTTCTGCTCGGTCTGCAAGCCTTGCTTCTTAAATGGCCCCCCGCTATGAAGCCCCCCACCCCACCCCCCAGCAGCCTCGGCTGGAGCCAGCGAAGACCGTGGCAGCAGCAGTGCCAGTGGGGGGCCCCTCTCACTCATTGTCCAGGGGTCCCGCACAATAGCCTGTGGGGCCCACTCCACAGGGAGCACCCAAAATAAAACGGGAACAAAGGGGAGGGTCCTGGTGGCGGG